AATGGTTCTAAAGTCTCAAGGTTTTTTAACTTCATGCATTCTATGCATGAAGGTAAAAATGCTTATCTGTGCAGCATCCCCCCAGCCCCCTTAATACTTTTAAGCCCCAGGGGCGGACTGACCATTTGGAAACTCGGGCACAGCCCGAGGGCCCTTGGTCAGTAGGGGGCCCCATGAGATGCCCCTGGTACCTTTTTCATAGGCTTTTTTGAGTTTGGACAAGGACACAGGGGCCCATGATCGCCTATTGCCCGGAGGCTCCATGAGTTGTCAGTCCGCCCCTGCTAAGCCCCCTTTCGATCCAGCAATGTGCACTGGAGTCTCGGCTATCCCGAGACTGCCTCTCCTCACAGCCAGTGAGCCAATGAGAAGAGAGAGGGGGCAAGGCCGAGCTGTGGCTCTATGTGTGAAAGGATACAAGGAGCAGCGGGTGCCCCCATAGCAAGCTGTTTTCTGTGGGGGCACCTGGCAGGAGGGAGGGGCCAGGAGCGCCAGTGGGGGACCCGAGAAGAGGAGGATCAGGGCTCCTCTGTGCAAAATCACTGCACACAGCAGGTAAGTATAGACATGTTTGTTATTTTACAAAAAAAATAAGCCTTTAGAATAGCTTTAACTCCTTAGCGGTAATCCCGAGTGTAGCTCGGGGTAAAATTTCTATACCAAGAGCGGTAACCCCGAGCTACACTCGGGCTTACCATGCAGCGCTGCTCTGGGGGTCCCTGCAGCACTTACCTTGTCCTTCGCTCCTGCGATGTGTCCCCTGCAGCGTCCCCAGCCATGTCCTCCGGCCGATGCCGACATCCGGCTTCTGTGTTCCGGTCCCTGTGACGTCGGGACGTACGGGCGCCGGAACCGGCGGGAAATTTGAAATTTTTTAAAAATTTCATTTTTTGCTGTCATTGCTGTTTCAATGAATTTCACATATATTTTGTCCCTACTGCTTTGTCCTGTGCCCTGCCTGCATTTTGAATGTTCTTTCTGCCTGGAAACTGAGAAAAGTCCATGGCGTCCAAAAAGCGTCATTTTACGTCAAAAACTGTTTTAGAGCAGCGATAGTAAATCAGAACCACTTGCAGAATTGAGTGATAATGATCCGTGGGGAAATTCGTCATCAGACACTGAAAACGATTTTGCGACTTTGCTCAGCGATGTGCGAATTTGCCTCTGTATTTCAAATTTCAGTGTTTTTGATTTGATTTATATTATTGAATTCAATTTATTATTATATTATTATTTTTTTATGATTATTTATTAAATTATAATTTATGATTTCGTGTTTCAAATTTTATCATATCCGGAATGTTTACTAGACTCTTGTTCGTACAGATTTCAGTGAGTTATTCCTAAAAATTACAGCCTACAATAAAAAACTACATATTTCTATGCAAACAAATGGTACCGCTTTCAGCACACAAAAATCGGAAAGAATCATACCGCCAAGGAGGTTAAACAATCAGTATATTGCATATAATTTCTTGACCAGTCATTTTGTATGTTTTCTATACAAGTATACTGCATGTAAAACCCAATCACACAAAATCACTGTTAAGCGTTAACATGTTGTTTTAAAGTAGTTTTTAAAGATAAATTCCAGGTATGGGTATTTTTTGGATATAAGGAATTAAACAGCGCTTCCTGACACCCTGGTAATATGCTCTCCTTAATGTGTCAAACCTATCTAGGTATGCTAACCATAAAAGAAGAGTGCTAAAGTGCAAACACAAAAGTGCTAAATACAAACACTAAAAGTGTCATATGCATCCAGGCTCACATATTCTAATTAATATACAAAATCATACTGTACCCCCCTTCATAAACCACATACTATTATAACGATTTGTACAAAAAATATAAATATATATCTTGAAAACAGTTCATGATGAAAAATCCATCAATTCATATACAGTTAGGTCCATATTTATTTGAACACAGGCACAATTTTCATACTTTTGGCTCTGTATGCCACCAGAATAAATTAAAACAAAACAATCCAAATGAATTTTAAGTTCAGACTTTCAGCTTTCGTTCAAGGGGTTTAACATAAATATCAAATACAAATTTTAGGAACTGCAACCATTTTTATACACAGTCCCTCCATTTTCAGGGGCTCAAATGTAATTGGACAAATGCATATAATCATAAATACTATATTCATTTTTAATATTTTGTTGAGAATCCTTTACTGGCAATGACTGCCTGAAGTCTGGAACCCATGGACATTACCAAAGACTGGGTTTCCTCCTTTCTGATGCTTTGCCAGGTTCTAACTGCAGCTATGTTCAGTTGTTCTTTGTTTGTGGGTCTTTCTGCCTTTAGTTGTACCTTCAGTAAATGAAGTGCATGCTCAATTGGGTTGAGATCAGGTGATTGACTCAGCCAAACGCTTTATTCCTTTAAAAACCATGAACTACACTCACATTTCTAAGTGTCATCCCCAACACTAGTATATCCAGCATAAACAAAAAATGGGTAGTCCCTGATCACTCCGATTACCAAAAAGGCTCACCCATAGTATGGTGACATAACCTCCAAAAGCCCCGCCCTCAGGGAATAAAGCGTTTTAAAATAGTTTCACGGTATGGAGTTCCCTCTTTCTTTCCTTCCATATGGTTTCATGCATATGAATGAGGAACGCTCAGCCAAAGGGAATTATACTGACATCTCTGCAGATCATTGCTCCCAGAGCCAATGCACTGTAGCTGGTTTATGATTTTACCAGCCTGGAGCTCTGGTGAGTCTATACATCTGGCGGTGGATTAGCACGGTGCGGTGGTGAACACTTTAGAAAGCACAATAATCAAATATATGAACTGATGGACTTTTCAGCACAAACTGTTTTCAAGATATATATTTATATTTTTGTACAAATTGTTATATATATATTTTGTACAAATTGTTATAATAACGTGATATTGTTTGTGAAGGGAGGTACACTATGATTTTGTATATTAATTAGAATATGTGAGCCTTTGATGCATATGACACTTTTTTAGTGTTTGTTTGTATTTAGTACTTTTGTGTTTGCACTTTAGCACTTTTATTTTACAGATCACATACCTAGATAGGTTTAACACATTGAGGAGAGCATATTACCAGGGAGACAAGAAGTGCTGTTTAATTTCTTATATCCTGTTATATTGCTTTGGGTTTCCAGAGGGAAAATAGCTGCTTCTTCCCCTTTTTTTCTGGAATAGCACCCTATATATGTCCGGTGGGGCTGTCTATAGAAAGTATTTTTTGTTATGGATATTTTTTACAGAGTTGCATTTGTCCACCTTGGATCAATGTGGGGTTGATTTACTAAAGTCAAATAGACGGTGCACTTTGCAAGGTGCAGTTGCACTCTGCAAGTGAAATTGCTGCAGAGCTTAGTAAATCTTCACTGTGCAAAGAATACCCAATCACGTGCAAGGAAAATAAAAAAAACAGCATTTTTGCCTGCACATGATTGGATGATAGAAGTCAGCTAAGCTTCAGTGCATTTACTAAGCTCTGGAGCAACTGCTCTTGTAGAGTGCAACTGCACTTTGCAAAGTGCACAATCTATTTGCCTTTAGTAAATAAATCCCTATGTATCTACTTGCCTATGTGGTGAATCTGTTATACATGTAAAATCTACATTTTTGTTTGCTAGAAAATTGCTTAGAATCCGCAAACATTATATGTATTTTTACGCATAGGCCCTAAAGCAGTAGTGTCCAAAACTGCAGCCTGGGGACTGGATGTGGCCTTTTTCTTGCCTTTTTTTCAGCCCTCCCACTGATGCAAAACACTATTAATCCCACTGACATCAACAAGGGACATGATTCCTGTTACTGACATCAACAATGAGAAACTATTTCTCCCATTGACATCAACAATGGGCTCTATTCCTCTCACTGACAACAACCATGAGGCACTATTTCTCCCTCTGACACCAACAATAGGGCACAATTGCTTCCGCTGACTCCAAAGATGGTGCGCTATTTCTCCCCCTAATGCCAATAAAGCACTGTTTACTCCCACTTATGCCAGGAAAATGTCTACACCCAATGGCCACGGCCCAACCCCCCCAAAGTCTGATGGACAGTAAACTGGCCCTTTGTTTAGAAAATTTAGAGATCCTTGCCCTAGAGAATAAAATAGTGGGTTTTGCAATTTTTTTTAAGTTACACAGTATTTGTGCAGAGGTTTTTCAAACACCAAATTTTTTGAAAAAAATACACTTTAATGAATTTTAGTGAACACAAACTTAACATAATACACATTTTTTTGTAAAATATATAAGATGTTACTGAGAGTAAATAGATACCAAACATGTCACACTTTAAAACTGTGCACCCGTAGAACAGCAATATACTACGGTACATGAAATTATTCATAGGTTATTCTTTAAAAACCTTCACAGGTTACCAGTTTAGAGTTAAACACGAGTTCTGCTGCTAGCATAGTTGCTCTCACTCTCATGTTCATGGTGATACCCCACATGACTGGTGCAATCAGTGTTTACATATGAGTGTGGGCAAGGATGTAAGGCGTTTGCCTTAGGGGGCATTTTTCAGGGAGGCAACACCACCCCCCAGGCAGAAGGGACCAGTGGCATCGCTACAGGGGGTCAATCCCCCCCCTCCAGGGGAAGACTGTATCAGGTGGGTTCGAACATTGGCTGGCTCGGCTTGGGCAGGGGGATGGTTTCAGCTGTGCTTGGGCGGGAGGGCGGGCTCGGCTGTGCTTGGGAGGGAGGGCAGTCTCAGCTGTGTCCAGGCGGGAGGGTGGGCTCGGCTGTGCTCGGGCGAGATGGCGGGCTCGGCTGGGCTCAGGAGAGAGGGCAGGTTCAGGCAGGCTCGGGCGGGAGGTCTATTTCAGCTGTGCTTGGGCAGGCTCGGCTCAAGCGGGGGAGTGGGTTCGGCTCGGACAGGAAGGCAGGCCCACAGTAAAAACCAGAGGTTTCCTATATATTTCACAAACCTGGCATCCGATAGATCCTTACAGAGGTTTTTTTTTTTAGCTCTTTCATTACTTCTGCAGTATGCTGACCTTCTCCTGTATCTTGTCCACAGTCTCTGGCCTTCTCCTCTATCATGTCCACAGTCTGACCTTCTCCTCCAGTATGTCCGCAGTCTCTGACTATTTCCTGTATCCTGTCCGCAATCTATGACCATCTCCTATATCCTGTCTGCAGTCTCTGACCATCTCCTGTATCCTGTCCACAATCTCTGACCTTCTCCTGTAGTATGTCTGCAGTCTCTGACCTTCTCCTTGATCGTGTCCACAGTCTCTGACCATTTCCTGTATCGTGTCCACAGTCTCTGACCTTCTCCTGTATCGTGTCCACAGTCTCTGACCATCTCCTGCATCATGTCTGCAGCCTTTGACCTTTTCCTGTATCCTGTCCACAGTCTCTGACCATCTCCTGTATCATGTCCGCAGTCTCTGGCCTTCTCCTGCAGTGTGTCCGCAATCCCCGGCCTTCTCCTGTAGTATGTCCGCAGTCTCTGTCCTTCTCCTGTATCATGTCAGCACTAATAGGAAGAGGTGGAGTCTAAAGATGAAGGGGCAGGGTTTACAGATGAAGGGGTGGATCTTAAACAGGAAGGGTTGGGACAAATTTAGATGGGAGGCGCCCCATTTTAGTCTTGCCTAGGGCAGCACAAAACCAAAATATACCACTGTGTGCTGGACCAACACATGTGTTCACTTTTTTGCATGAGCAAGGGGGCGAGGGTACTTTGTTTATTTTTTTATTTTATTACTTAGTAAAAAAATTTTTTAATCATGCTTACATTTATCACATCCCTTGTAATATCATGGGCCATGACATGTTCTCTTTTTGGAGACATCTGGGGTCTATGAGACCCCAGAGATCTCTCTGGCCTCCTTTCAGTTTGATCTGCTGCTTCACAAGCTGGTAACTTAAATGAACAAACCAGAAATTACAAAATCCTGGTCACTTCCAGTTTCTGACGTCAGTCACATCTTTACCAAATTCCCCAATGGGACAGGAGAGTGCGGTAAAGGCGGCGATGGTGGGGGAGACCACATGTAAAAATAGTCCAGCAGCTGTATAATGGCTAGGATTACTTTTACAATGTGCAAAATCACCACCAGCTATAAAAACAATTCTGGGATTTTGATTGTAGCCTCAACCATGATCCTGATATAACCACCTCAATACCAGGACATATATGTATGTACAATGGTATTGAGTTGGCTATATACCATACCTGTGGGTTCCCTCTAGAATGTGGAAATCACTGTATTAGACACCACTGCTCCAGTAATCTCCACTTACTCCCTGGTCCTGCTCTGAGTAGCTTTCCTGCTGCTTCTAAACACAGGAGGTTAGCTGCTCTCCACCTCCCCCATATTCCATACCATAAGTCAAATGCCCGGTGTGCCCTATGGCCAGTCCGGGCCTGGTCATGAAACGTAGAGCCACTTTTCAGTTGAAACTGTACTAGCTCCCAATTGTGACATCACATCTGGTCATGTTAGCTATCGGTGATCTATCTTGGTACCCCCTAGTCTACGCAGTCATTTAGAAGCAGTATGATTTCAATAATTTATGTATTGAGGTGCAATTTTTTCTATCTTGAATTTGTGGTACATATTGGTATCACTTTTAGGAATAATTATTTCTGTCTCTGTGTAACTATGTGATTTGTATAATAAAGAGAACTAAGATTTTACATTTCTGTTTGATGTTTAAGTGCCTATAAAGTCCATTGAGTTGCAACCATTTTTTGACTAGTCTTATATGATGTGACACAGTCTATGAGTGGTGTATCCATAGTACCACCCTATGGACGTTTTATTCATAATTGTAGGAGGAAGCACCTTTATTGGAACACTAGTTTGGTGACTAGTAATTTGCTTTATAAAATGTAGTACTATTACTACAGTACAGAAATCCAGGCATTGCAAGTATTTTCATATTGTGAACTATGGACTTTATAAGTACAGCGTGATCAGACTTTATGACCGATATACATACTACATGTACTGGTGCCAACAAAGATGATGAGTTTTTGAATCAATATTTTGTGAAATTGAAACAGCTCCTGAAAAAGAAGTCGAACTTGTATTGACATAGAGAGTTTTTTCAACAATACAGTCAGGAAATATCAGTCCTCTAGGATTACGGGTGCAAATATATTCCACTATTAAAAATATATCTCAAAAGTTTAAAAATGCTTGGGAACAAGTGCTCATGAAATGTACTGTGGACCTAATGAACTTATTGGTTTCTGATTATAAAACAGATATTAATCAGTTAGACCAAGAATTGATTGCACTCAATACACAATATGAAGCGGTTAAAACTAATCCCCAATATGATAATAGATGGCAGGGATTTAAAGAATATATAGCCAAGCTAAACAAAGACATTATTGGTAAAAAAACATGATAAATTAACAAAAGACACGCTAGCCTTCTCTGAAGGATATGTGTATCGATGGCAAAACCCTCTATCTGGGAGAGGATTTGTGGTAAAAAACAGGCCAAATTCCAATATCCAATACAATATTACATTTGAGGAAGAGTCAGAGTCCCTTTCTGCGCAGGCCCCCAGAGGAAACCAAACATAATACACTCACTCATGTATGGGCAGCACAGTGGCTAAATGGTTAGCACTTCTGCCTGACAGTACTAGGGTTGTTAGTTTGAATCCCAGCCACGGCACCTCCTGCCTGGAGTTTGCATGTTCTCCCTATGCCTGTGTGGATTTCTGGGTACTCCGGTTTCCTCCCACACTCCAAAGACATGCTTGTAGGTTATTTGGCTCCTGTCCAAATTGGCCCTAGTATGTGTATGTATGAATGTAAGTTAGGGACTTTAGATTGTACGCCCCTTGAGGGTTAGGGACTGATGTGAATATACAATATATATATATAAAGTGCTGTGTAAATTGACAGCGCTATGTAAGTACCTGAAATAAATGTTGGATCAGGGAAACAAGTTTATGGTGGTGGGAAAACAGACCCTTAACATTCCAAAAAGACATCCAGAGCACTTACCTAAATTCACTCCTATGTTGCCACAACAGGTTGGGGTTGGTGCCAGACCAGGCAAAGGCAACAGTTGTGCATCAGATTGCATTCCCTGCAACTATGCAGAACCTACAGCTGCACAGGTATTTCAATTTATGAATGCACAACAGACTACCAATCCCTTACACCTAATGTATCCCAATTAGGACCTACTCCTCACAGACATTTAACACAACCTCAGACATCCCAGAACCCCCTGAATAGCAGTAATTTTTTTACCAATTACTCAACATCTAGAAACAGTCAAGAGACATTGGACGGCTATCTAATTTGATCAAACCTATATCCAACAATATCAACAGCACCTCCCAACCCAGCTCTGATCACAAATTGAGTGTTATTAACTTAACTCCAGACCCACTTTCACCCAATGAACTATCACTTCTAAAATTGGGTTTGAGCTTTTGTCCTACAGCCACTATTCACAAATATGACACCATCAAAGACCTATATCTTTTTGCAAGAAACCTTACTTTTAAATTCATTTTTGACCCTGATAGAGTTCAAATGAAGGAGGAAAAAGCATTAGCTGATCAAATTAAGCATTTTACGATGCAAGATTTTAGAGTACTACGGGACCTCATTTTACTCTTGGAGGAAAGTGGGGAATATAGGCCAGATTCCCCTTCAAGTATGCCACAGGACAACTCAAGTAGTAGGCCTCTAAATAAGACATTTAAAAATAAGTCACAAAAATTTCCCGATCTGACTAGCAACCCTAATGTGTGACCCTTCCTCACAACTATGGTAAGCGAGGTTAAACGTATGAAGATATTGAATTTTGAGTCTAATCTAAATCCTATGTTGAGACTGGCATTTGTCCAATTCCTGAATCGCCCAAATACAATTATCAAACCAGCCGACAAAGGTGGAAATATAGTCTTAATGACCAATGCACAGTATGAAAAAATGTGTTATGATATACTTAATAACAAACAATGGTATAGGCCCATATCCTCTGATGTAGTAACTATGTTTAACAATGAGTTTAAACAATTAATTGCTACAGCATATATGAAAAGTACAATTGATAAAAAAAGATATGCATATCTAAACATTCAACATTCACAGGAACCAACTTTTTACTCTATTCCCAAAATACATAAAAGTCTTGTATAACCACTAGGCCAACCCATTGTATTGGGTCAATTACAGAGAATGCTAGTCGAATAGCTGATTTTTTTCTAATGCCTCATGTCACCAGGCTTCTTTCTTACGTTCAGGATACCATGGACCTACTTAGACAAATAGAGGATATTACTATTCCCCCTGACACTAGTTACCATTGATGTGGAGGCTTTGAACTCCAGCATCCCTCACAAGCAGGGTGTCAGGGTGGTGCGTACGTTCCTTATGGAACAGGATAGAACTCACTGGCAATTCAATGAGATCGTTCTTCAACTTCTACATTTCATCCTTACGCACAACTGGTTCACTTGTTCGGGTTTCCACTATCTCCAGGTGCAAGGCGTGGCCATGGGCACCTGTTGTGTCCCGGCCTATGCCAATTTATACCTGGGGGGTGGGAACGTGAGATTTTTTTAGGTGAATCATTTGTCACATATCTGGGCCATGCATTATGCTGGCTGAGATATATTGACGATATTCTGGTCATTTAGACTGGGTCAGTCCAATTGCTTCATTAATTTATAGCCAAACTAAATCACAACAATTAAAATCTCCATATTACTACTAATTACCATAAAGAATCCATTTCGTTCCTAGACCTTTATATATCTAGGGACACTGACAACAGTTTGGTTACCAAACTCTTTCGGAAGGCCACGGTAAGAAACAATATTTTACATGCCGCAAGTGGATATCTGTTTATACTCTACGATATAGTATATACATATGTCCATACTTTTTTTTTTTTACTGTATAGCTATGTATAAACACAAACAACTTAAACTCTGTTTTATTATAAATGCACTCTTTTCTAGCTCCTGAGGAAGCGACATATAGTTGCAAAACATGTCGAGCCACTTTTCAGTTGAAGCTGCACTAGCTCTCAATTGTGACATCACATCTGTGTTCAATAAACTATAAGGTCATCTAAGCCATTGGCGATCTATCTCGGTACCCCCAACACGGTATGACTTCAAATGATTTATGTATTGAGGTGCAATTTTTTCTATCTTGAATTTGTGGTACATATTGGTATCACTTTTAGGAATAATTATTTCTGTTTCTGTGTAACTATGTGATTTGTATAATAAAGAGAACTAAGATTTTACATTTCTGTTTGATGTTTAAGTGCCTATACAGTCCATTGAGCTGCAATTTCTTGACTGGAATGTACATTCACCAGTCTCTTTATTTGGAACAATTGCTTGGTAACACTAATTGCTATTCAGCC